AAAGAATTTCTGGCACTTTCTTTATTTCAAATCTTCTTAGCCCCTGCCCTATTTCAAACATCATGCTAGTGTATATGCTCCTTAACCCCCAAAGCTCAATTTATCCTTGCAACAATTCAACAAACTCATTACATCTGTGAAAGTAACCAAAAACTCACCTTTATTCTATCAAGTTCCCAGTAAATTAGTAAGAAGATGGCATTCCTCATGCTTTGGGACCTCTCAATCAAGCTTGAAAAAGAAACAAGAGAGTACATTCACCAGATCAGGTGCCGGAAGGGAACTCATACACAGAAATGGGGTGCCGGAAGCATAATCACTATTGAAGCATAATTATTTTCCAAAGACAAGTTGCAAGCAACCAAAGCTCACTTTCATGCTATCAAAATCCTAGAAAATTAGACTTCTCATGCTTTCTCATGCTCTAGAGCTTCTAAACAAGAGAATATGTTAGCCAAAATCAGATGCTGGAAAGGTACTCATACACAAGGGGAGGCGCTGGAAGCATAATTTTCTCAAAGTGCAAGCAAACTCATCTATCAAGTATTTGACAAAATTCACAGGGCATGATACCAATCCACATGCCAAGAAATTTCATTTCATTCAAGCATTTCAAGCAATTCGGGCATTTCAAGAAAATTGAAGAACTCATGCTCTTACGACAATACCTTTCAACATCTTGCTCTCACGACGATATTGCTCAAGAACATGCTCTAGCAATACTCATATCAGCACTCAATGCCAACAGAAAGGACATGCCAAATTCTCAACAAAAAGCAGCATGCCAAGCAAAACTTATACAAAAGCTTTCCAACCATTCTAGCTAGAACATCCCACTTTTAGAAACTCACTATAAATCAAGCTTGCAACCAACAAATCCCAAACTTTCTAGATTAGAACTAGACATATCAAGCTTCATTTCCCCAAAATTTCGTTGCATTTCGAGCTAGGGAAGCATGTCAAACAGACTCCTAAAACAGCCCATGCAACAAGAACTGCACAGCTCCAGCAGCTTAACCCTTACTTTGAAATTCCACCAAAAATTCATTTTTTCTTCAAGTGACGCAATACCAATTCCAACATAACCATTGAGAAGTCCATTTTTATGTCTCAAAAGCTCCAACTCAGATTCGAAAAGAAACATTTCAAAAGTTCCAAAAACAGCTAGCAAGCTACTTTGAGATATTTTGACAAACACTTGGCATGCATACCCAAGTGAGCTTGTATGACTCTTTTTTATCACCAAGCTAGAATCCTAAACCAGAAGCTCAACCTCCGAATTCGATTTCTAGTTCACAAATTCTGGGAAATACAGAGGAACTCAAGCATTCAAGCATAGAAAACAAGCATGCAACAAAGGCATCAACATTAACTCATGAACATGCTTCAGAAGAATGGAGGTAGAGAACACTAGAATGGGTGGATGATCCTCAATTTTGGATATGTTATAAACAACATAATTTCGAGCAAATTTTGTGAAGGAAGTGCAATCATCCAAGCATCATAAGTTAAAGACACGTGTAGAAGCAGAATCTGCAAAAACTCACCAGCCATGGATGAACACAGAAGTTACAGACCAGCTTTGAGGCTTCAGAAAAATTCTACAAATTCTACAAATTTTAGAAGCTATAGTACTCGAGCAGATGAACAACTTTCATCAAGGAAGTTTTCTGATCTGAGCTTCAAAAATCTGACTTCTATACCAATGAACAATACCCACGGGTTTGGGTCTTGAAGAAGAAGAAGAAAGAAGAGTGAGAGAAAATAAAAAAATAAAGTATGCCATGCCAAATGAAAGGAAAAGAGAGCAGCCACTTGCAAATAAAAAATTCAAAAGCAAGGGGCAACACAATTTTGCCCATGTGAAGGCCAAGCCAGTCAAGGAGATGACGTGCCCCGCTCTCTTATGCTCTCTCAAGCTCGTATCTCTTCTTCAACCCACCATGCATCAATACAAGCATTTGTGAATCAATCCACACAAGCCATGCAACTCAAGCATTTCACTTGGTACAAACGTTTCAAGCAAACCAAACCAGATATCACAATATCAAGCTTTTCAAGCAATACAGTCATCATAAAAATGACAATGTTAGAACGTGGCAGTTCTAGCTGCTGGAAGCACAGGGAGGAAGCCATGCTATCATGTCAAATTTTCACCATTGCAACAAAGGGATATCCTAAGTTCATCACGCCATGCAATGTCCCAAACAAATACTCAGAAGGCCACGCTGCAAGAGTTTTTGCACCTCATGCTAATCAAATCTTTTATGATGATTATGGTGCACTTGGGGGCTAAGGAAGGAATTCATTGCAATAAGCACCACCAGCAATTCCAAAACCCCAATAACCAAGATTCAAGCCAAACAAAACATGGAAGATAATGATGCACTGTATGAGATGCTCCTGGAAAATAACACAAGCTCTATATTCATGATGCCGGAAGAGCGAACCCCCATGCCAGATCAAGTTATATCTTGATTCAACTCAACCATTAGATTATCCACGTCCTCATAGCAAATCCAAGCTAATCATGCCAAGCTAAGTCACGTTCTTCCAGCACCTACTCCATAAGCGGAGAATTTCCAGCACCTATTCCATGCCAAACAAAACATTTTCCAGCACCTGCCATATTTCAAACATCCTTCCAACACATGCCAATGCCAAGCATCCAAGCATACAAGCCCAAGCCAAGCGTACATGCCAATGCCAAGCATCCAAGCATACAAGCTCGAGCCAAGTGTACATGCCAATCTGTTAAGCTCATAATTTCATACATATACATGCCCAAATTTACTTACTTCTTTTGCTTAGTTTCCTATAATTTTGAGTTATTTGCCTCCCTTTGTGTGTTTTGTAGGCCAAAAGGCCAAAAGAGCATAATTGTGGTAGCACTTGAATAATGTTTAGAACTTCCTTAGTGCTTGTTTTGTTCCTTGTTGAGCCATGTCTATGAAGTTTAACATTTTTGTCCGGTTGGAAGGTTAACGTTTTTGTATTTTGTTTTGTTTTGTTTTGCTTAAGGGCTAACAAATCTATTAAGTTTTCTAACTACATTGTTTTGTAGAGTCAGTAAAACGTTTGTGGGTATCGTATCTGTTAAACCCTCAGGAGACACAACTCCTCCTACAAATTGGGCTTCTCTTAAGCAAATGACCACTTTAAGCACTCCAAATTGAAGTTCAGAATGTGTCTGATCCAACCACACAAGTATTGGCCCAATCCAAGCTCGGATGAAGAAGTTAAGGCCAAAACAAATTGTTAACTCGTTTTGCTCGCTGACAAAAATTCATCCTGAACATGGGTCTGTGTTTGCTAGGTGACAGACTTCATATTTATCCAATGGGGCTGAAATTTGGATATGTTATAGTACACACCCATTGTAACAACTTTCATGAAGAATACGGCCTCATCCGAGTTGTGTAGGTTGCCGAAACAAAGCTTGCAATATGACCTACGGAACTGGACTGGCAGGGGGCTGTAGCCAAAATGAGTTTGTCTTTTAAGCTCTTCATCCATTCATCCAAATTAGGCCTTAACATGCTTGAATTGCATGAATTATGCTCTCTTGCTCTTTTGGCCTACAAAACACACAAAGGGAGGCAAATAACTCAAAATTATAGGAAACTAAGCAAAAGAAGTAAGTAAATTTGGGCATGTATATGTATGAAATTATGAGCTTAACAGGAATCCTTCAATTTCATGCTTTATTCTTCCATCTTCCTCCTTTCTCTCTCTCAAAACCCACATGCAGAGAGAGTAAGCGTCATCTCTCATCTCTGGAACCCTCCGATTTCAAGCCTTGTTCTTCCATTGCTTCCCATTTTCTCTTATGTCAAATCGCCCAGGAGCTTGACGAAGCTTTCGTCAAGCTGCTGGAAATATATGCTAAAGCCACCCATGCTTTCATCTTCTTCCTCGCTCTCTCTCTCATAACACGTATCCAGAGAGCAAGCTTCCCTCTCATCTTCAAAACCTAGCAATTTCGTGCACTATTCATCCTTCTTCCCCATTTTCCCTCTTGGTAGAACTGTTCCAATACTTGACAGAACTTTCGTCAAGCTGCTGAAAACTTGCTCAAGCCACCCGTTCCTCTGCCTCATCTCTTCCTCTCTCTCCTCAATAAATCCTCCCAAAAACTCTCTCTTCCCCTTACTTCGAGCCTATGTTTCTCATAGGAAACCCAAGCCTTCTCTCTCTCATGCTAAACTCACGAATGCACAGCTCCCATGCCACAAGCTTCTCATGCCAAGCCTAAATATTTATCTGCAAGCAATTGTCTTTTTTGTTGGTGAAGATAACCAAGGTGTTTCTTAAGGCTCCGCTACCCTTTCGAAGCGCACTTGGGGTTTGATTCTCGAACTCAGACACAAGGGGCGATTCCAGCCATTTGCTCTTTACAGCAGCCCAGGCCCATTCGTCAAGCTGCTAGAACGAAAAAGCCCCTACAAAGGTAATGAAGATAGATCTGATATTGCCAAAGAACTCAAGAAAATGAGATTTTCTCCTTTAGATCAAAATGCAGCACTAAAACTCATTTTGGAGAAGCCACAAAATATATCTATGTTCATGTCTTTGGATGATGATATCAAGAAAGTGTTTGTTGAGCAGTTGCTTAGTGACAATGCTTGAGGATATGGCCTAGCTAAATTTGATGCATCTATCTTTTTGGAAACACTACAAATGATGCATTCACTACAAGAAAAGTGAGTATTTACGGCGTGCATTTTATGCAAGCGGTAAAAGTGTTTTTTCGTCCTCTTTTTACGGCGTGCATTCAAAGCACGCCTTAAATGATTTTTTCTTTCCTTTTTTACGGCGTGCTTGTACAATGCGCCGTGATTTTTAGGCAATAATGGCGTGCCAAAAAAGCACGCCGTAAAAAATGACTCTATTAATGGCGTGCAAAATGTGCACGCCGTGAAATCTAATCCTATTAATGGCATACAAAATATGCACGCCGTGAATACAAAACTAATTCTTTATTTTTTAATTTTTTGGTTGTTTCGCTCCATTTTAAGTCGCCTGCGAAACTATACTCTTTTCACTGAAATTATTATTTGGAAATATCTCTCTCTATACCCATCGACTCTCTCTGTCCAAACCCTATCCCCATTGAATCTGCCTCCAAGCTCTATCACCGTCGTAAGCACTTCGTCTCTGTCACCGTTGTAAGCACTCGGTTTCTCTCGCCCGATATTTCTTCGTCTGTCGCCGTCAACCGGAAACCGGAAGAGGTACCTCACACACCTCTCTCTCTCTCTCTCTCTCTCTCTCTCTTCCCTTCAATTTATTGATTTTGCCTATAATTTCATATACACTTTCTTTTAATTTGAAAGATATGGGAATCTCGTAATTTCATATACAACTTAGGGATTGCCCATTTGCTAATGACTAAGCAAGTTGATATAATCTGCTAAGGTAAATGTGTAAATTCCCTTAGAAATGTAATTAGTTTGCAGCTCTGATAATGATAAAAAGGGTCATGCATCATCTATTTTTGCTATGTCCTGCTGATTCTTCTTTATGGGCTAAATTGTTTTCGGTGGCTGGAAATGCTTAGGGAAATTACACTTCCTGCTGATTCGTCTTTATGGGCTAGATTCTGAAATGTTTCGGTGGAAAGAGGGGTGTTGTGCTGGGTTAATTAACTTGGATGTTGTCATGGATACCAAAATTTAGCAAATACATAAATGTATTTATATATGGGAACAAACCCAGCTAAGATAGGACCACCTTGCATATGCATGATGCATATCTCTGAATCAACAGCTGCCAATTAATCTCTGTAATTTGACAAACCCTTTTTTGTTTTGATTCATACATTTTTCCCTCTTTTGATCCTCGGTTGGCCTTTTGGGTTTTCTGCTCAAAGGCAAAGGCCATTAATTTTCACTTTGTTCTGATTGTTCTTCTTGTGAGAAAAGTGAGAGTTTAGATCGAATGTTGAAATTGGTCAAGCCAATTTGATTATTTTTTTGGTAAATTTAAAATTGTAACTAATCTATGTTAAATGATAGGCCTTGATCATTGATCTTAATGCTGGAAAGTGAAAATTTTAAATGGAACATAATGAATCTAACTAAAGCTTCTTCTTTTCTGAAACTGCATATGTACACTGTTTCCATATCAAATATATACGATTTATGATATGTTGTATAAATGCCAGACCATCAACAAACTTCTTTGAGGGCAAATTTCTCCCCACCAGATGGGGAAGGACCAAGGGTGCAATAGCATAAAGAAAAATGCTCTGCATTCTCAAAAACCAATTCTTTAGAACAAAGTTTTTGTAATTGTAGCTAATAGCTATCAATTTCATGGATGTTGAATTGCTTACTATAAAGCAAGACGTACTAGTTCTCAGTTTCACAAAATGATGTGTAGGGGTCTCTGTTCTTTGGAATGAGTTATGTTCACATTCTCTGTGAAGGATGTCCATTATTTCATAAGAGGATGTTCAATGTATTCATATGCCTATTACCTTCGTATATGTGATTGTGGGCCTAAGAAATATCTAAAGAAACAAGATTGTTTGGTTAAATCCCAAAAAGGTGGAGAGGAATGAATAAATTGGGTATTGAGTCCAATTATAACCAGGTTTTGGTGTGTCTTTCTCTGAAGCTGTGTATTCTGTGCATAAGCTTATATTGAGAAACCTTTTTCGTGGGAATTGTTATATGGATATCATACCAGTTATATGCTTTTCTAGACCATAGATATCTCAAATTTTGTTTCTTTTTATAAAAAAATGTATAGCTGTTAATCTTTTTTTTTTCTTATGTTTTTTCTTTCATGTAAACCAGGTCAGAAAAATGAGATGATTTTCATGAGGCAGATTGTTGCTTTGAATGTGCTAGAGGAGTAGCATATTTGGTGCAATAAGCTTATACTTGCTGGTATTTTCTTTCTTTCAACTATGTGCTGGTTCAATTATACTTGCTGGTATTTTCTTTCTTTCTTTAACTTGATATTGTTTTGTGTGATCAGTTTTGTCGTGTGGTGGATGTTTTGTATGAAATATATCCACATAACCATTATTAGGACTAATAATTACTTGTATGACATGTGTGAAGTGGTTTTTTATTTTCTGTCCTCATTGTTTTGTGATGTATATTGATTCTCTTATCCGTATTAATTCATCCATCTTTGTGGGCTTTTCAAGGACTGATGTTTGGATCTATGGATACGAAAAGAGAAAGAAGAATGAGGATGATGAAGTTGAGGATCCAGATTTAGTGGTAAAAGCAAAAACTGTTTGCTGCATATTTTTAGTGTTTATCCATAGATTGATATTTAAGTTTTTATTTTTGTGGTGGTAAATTTCCAGAAAGAAGTGAAAAAGTACAGAAAAGAACAAGGTCCACAGAAATGTTCTATTAAAGAGGATGCTGTAGCAAAAGTATTCGGTCCTGCTGTAGCGTTGCATCTTTGAGGTAAAATTCTTCATTTTTCTTTTACATGTAGATGGTATAGTTCTCATTGTATAATAATCAAGTCATGACTCTGCATAATCAATGTTAAAAGAGCATAAGTCTAGTGCTTTGTTTCAGTATATATATATCATTGTATATATAAGTCTAGTGCATAATCAAGTCATGACTGTGATATATACGTCATTGTAAATTGTCATGTTTTCTACTGATTGGGATCCACCTTTGTTGTGATTTTAAAAAAGAAATGACTTTTTCTATTTATATATTTGATATCCTGTAGGTTTTTCTCAAAGGGTCAAAGAATGCTCATGAATATTGTCTACTGCTAAAGGACATTGTTTTAGCATAGGTTCATGTTAGAGACTTATTTTTTTTGTTTTCTTCACTAGTGAATGGATTCGAGGCAGTGAAAATGTAACATCCCGACCCAAAATTTAAGACTATTCACTAATGAATTAAATTAAAAAATGGAATTTCCAATTTTGCCCTTGAAGTGGGGGCAAAAAGGTCAATTTTTATCCGGAGAGAGTGTGGAGCAACGGGTGATATTTTTAGGAAGGTTGTACTGAGCCGAGTACGTAGACATGCAGTAGGCTCGATTCGGACTTGAAACGAAGAAGATACGATTGAAAAATCATTGATGACCTAATTGAAATTATTTCAAAATTATTTTGATTAAAATCAGATTTTCATTTTCATTTTCTCATTTCTCTCTCTCTCACCCGACTTCTCTCTCTCTCACGCGAAACCCTCCCCCGACACTGTTCACCGACGGCTATTTTGGCCAGCCGCCGCTACGTCCGGCCACCTCTGGCGACAAGACCAGTTGCGTTAGAACCGTCGTCTCGAGCTCTCTCCGTTTCGCCCCATCTCCGACGCCGGTAGCAACGAGAACCACCGGAAATTGCAGAAAAGTCGCCAGAAATTTCAGAAAATTTCCAAGTCTTCGTTCTCCTTCAAATCTCCACCGATTCCGACGAGTGAGGTATGGTTTCTCGACTGTTTTTCGTGCTCCAGTTGCCTGTTGGATAGGTTTCCCAGAATTTTTGAGAGGTTATAGATCAAATTTCGAAATTAGGTTTCAGCCGATTTTCAGTCTGAATTTTCGGCCACTTATGGCCACTTTTTGGCCATTGCCCAAGAACAAAAGTGACTCTAAATTAAGGGTATTACCTAGGTTAGGAGTTTGGAGCCAAGATTCTAAGTTTTTCCGGTCACCTGAACAGTGACCAAGCCACCCACGCGCGGCAGCGGTCACATTTTATCCTAAACACAGATATCCCGCATTCCGCAGATGCCGGGCCCACTTACTAAGAATCGAGACTTCTACCAAAATTTTGGCAGTCTATAAACAGGACATATTCCAAATATTTCAACCTGTCAAAAACACAGATATTTACAACCCAACAGCTAGCATGCATTACACAAAGTATAGTGTTACAAACCATGGCCTCCGGCCTTAAAAATTACATCCTAACAGGGCGATAACAGAGCAAGTCTAACAGAATTCAACAAACCATCAAAAATAAAGTTTTACGAATTTACAGAGTATAGAACTCTACGAAGGCTGGGTGTACTGAAGCTCGCGATTCGGGAGCACACGACACAGCTCGGCTGCTCGTTCCAGTCAACTACTGGCTGTGGGGTGCAAAACAGAAAATTGTGAGTGGACAAAACAAAATTTAGTTCAATTTAAACCAAAGTAATAAAACCCCACTGTTAGAAAACCATGCATGAAACCAATGCATTAAATCCACCATATTCATGTATATATATATATATAGTTTGCTCAAACCCGAGCTGAATCCGAAATCCAGTGAAACTATAAACCCATCCAAACATTTCCTTACAAATCTCAAATTAAACTCTAGAAACATGTGCCCACCGGCAAGACGAGCGGGGAAGTATCCTCGCTCAAAAACAAGAACAAATGCATAGCTATATATATAACATAAGAGATATAATATAAGTATATGACACACCTAATTGTACCAGGGAAACAATCCAACAGGGGATTGTTGACTAGCTCACACTTATCCCGCCTCAAACATCCATGTGGCTAGGGATGAGTTGTTCAATTGGGGGACTAATACTCTAACCCAGCACGTACGGACGAAGAATTAAGACCCGTACGCCTGGAACCGTCCTACACGCGCAGACTACCCAATTAAGGGTCTACAGCGATACCCCGTTAAGGTATGCCCTGGGTTCCAACATTTCCAAGTATCTCACAATCCAGATCAGGGGAGGTACACAGGGTAGTGCTTATAGCACTCCAAACTGACTTTCTACTCTCGCATTTTTTCCATGCCTTTCAACCAATCCCAAGTACCCCCACATAAACTCAACATAAAGTACTTTCCCAAATAGTATGCAAATATAATTCTAGATACTTGAATATGTCTAAAACTCAAACATAACACCCATACTTTATAAAAATATTAGTTTCGAATAATAAGTATAAAGTAAATTTCCATAAACCCTTAAATTCTTATGCATAGAAATTTCATCATAAAATTCATGCAATTTATTGAAAACAAAGTCCACTCACAAATAATCCCAAGCTGCGTGACCCTGAGAGGGTCCTGCCTGCTGTGACGGAGGTGTCAGATTACCTATTTCAGAATACGAGCACGATATTAAAATCCAATGCTTCAAAAGAAGACTTTAAATTAACATCCTAATTTCCCGGATTTCCCTTAAGTACGAGGAACGAGACGTTCCTAAGGTTCAATATAAGGGTTTCAAGCGCTGGAAAAGTCTCGGAAGACACTCGGTCAACTGGACGGTCAACACTTTAAGTTGATGAATCGGAACATCCGGGGCTCCGATTCACGATCCGTGAATTCCTATATGATCCTAGTAATATCAGGAATAACATACGTGAAATTGGGTTTGATTCAACGGTCCAAATATATCAAACCCGAAAATCACAGAATATGTCTAATTCGTTCGAGGCCCAAACGATATCCAAATTGAGATCCGTAAACTCCTATACGCTCGTGACAACACAAGGATCATTTTAGGATAAAATGTGACCTCTGCCGGACTGTCCACGCGCTGCCGCGCGTGGATGGCTTGGTCACTGTTCAGGTGACCGGAAAAACTTAGAATCTTGGCTCCAAACTCCTAACCTAGGTAATACCCCTAATTTGGAGTCACTTTTGTTCTTGGGCAATGGCCAAAAAGTGGCCGGAAATTCAGACTGAAAACCGGCTGAAACCTAACTTCGAAATTTGATCTGTAACCTCTCAAAATTTTGGGAAACCTATCCAACAGGCAGCTAGAGCACGAAAAACAGTCGAGAAACCATACCTCACTCGTCGGAATCGGTGGAGATTTGAAGGAGAACGAAGACTTGGAAATTTTCTGAAATTTCCGGCGACTTTTCTGCAATTTCTGGTGGTTCTCGTTGCTGCCGGTGTCGGAGATGGAGCGAAACGGAGAGAGCTTGAGATGACGGTTCTAACGCGACTGGTCTTGTCGCTGGAGGTGGCCGGACGTAGCGGCGGCTGGCCAAAATAGCCGTCGGTGAACAGTGTCGGGGGAGGGTTTCGCGTGAGAGAGAGAGAAGTCGGGTGAGAGAGAGAGAGAAATGAGAAAATGAAAATATGATTTTAATCAAAATAATTTTGAAATAATTTCAATTAGGTCCTTAATGATTTTTCAATCGTATCTTTTTCGTTTCCGAATCGAGCCTACCGCGTGTCTACAGACTCGGCTCAGTACAACCTTCCTAAAAATATCACCCGTTGCTCCACACTCTCTCTGGATAAAAATTGACCTTTTTGCCCCCACTTCAAGGGCAAAATTGGAAATTCCATTTTTAAATTTAATTCATTAGTGAATAGTCTTAAATTTTGGGTCGGGATGTTACAATCTACCCCTCTTAAAGAATTTCGTCCTCGAAATTTACGTACCTGTCAATAGAAGAGGTAAGGGTACTGGGCCCGCATTTGCTCCTCGGGTTCCCAAGTAGCTTCCTCTACAGTTTGACTCCTCCACAACACTTTCACCATTGGAATAGATCTGGAGTGTAACACTTGCTCTTTTCTGTCCAAAATTTGTACGGGTTCCTCATCATATGACAAATCTTCTCTAAACTCGATGAGTTGCTGTTCCAAAACATGAGAAGGATCAGGCATGTACTTCCGTAACATGGACACATGGAAAACGTCATGGATCCGAGATAATTCCGAAGGTAAGGCAAGTCTGTAGGCAATTGGTCTGACACGTTCTGTGATCTCATACGGTCCAATATAACGAGGACTTAACTTCCCACGGTTACCAAACCTCATCACACCTTTCTAAGGAGATAGCTTCAAAAATACCCAGTCTCCAACTGCAAACTCAAGATCCTTGGACCAGTTGTCAGCATAACTCTTCTGTCTATCTTGTGCGGTCTTAAGCTTCTCTCGAATCATCCTCACTTGTTCAGTTGTGTACCAAATACTATCCACTTTTTCCACTTTCCTGTCACCCACCTCATTCCAACAGACTGGAGTTCTACACATCCTCCCATATAAAGCTTCATACGGAGCCATCTCAATGCTCGAATGATAACTGTTATTATACGCAAACTCCACCAAAGCAAGGTGAGTATCCCAACTACCTTTCAGCTGTAACACACATGATCTCAACATGTCCTCCAGAGTCTGAATGGTCCTTTCCGACTGTCCATCAGTCTGTGGGTGGAAAGCAGTACTGAAACGTAACCTGGTGCCCATAGCCAGAATCGAGAGGTAAACCTAGCATCCTTGTCTGACACAATGGACATAGGAGCTCCATGCAATCGCACTATCTCATCCATGAAAAGTTTCGCCAGCTTTGACAAGGAATAGGTTTCCTTTACAAGTAGGAAGTGGGCTGATTTGGTGAGTCGAGCAACTATCACCCAAATTCCGTCATACCCATTTGCAGAACGTGGAAGTTTGAAAACAAAGTCCATTGTAATATGCTCCCACTTCCATTCAGGGATCGGGAGTGGCTGCATAAGTCCAGAAGGTTTCTGTCGCTCCGCTTTTACTTGTTGGCACACCAAACACTTACTCACATATTTAGCAATGTCACCCTTCATATGCGGCCACAAGTAGTACTGCCGTAGAGTCAGATACATCTTAGTACTACCTGGATGCATAGAATAAGTTGAACAGTGAGCTTCCTCCATTATTTCTCTTTTCAGGTCGTCGCCTTTCTTAGGTACGCAAAGACGTGTTCTAGCTACCAAAGCTCCATCTTCTCTTATAGCATAATCCCTCCGTACACCACTTTCTACTTTCGACCTTATCACACAAAGATTAGGATCTTCCAGTTGTGCTGCAATCACCCTCTCAATCAGGATAGGCCTCACATACAAACTAGCAAGTATTGCACCCTGTTGACTCCATTCCAACTCTACCTCTTCCTTCCGTAGTTCCCCCATCAACGGAATATAAACTCCTTTAAAATGAGCTATACTCACATCAATACTCCTACTCAAAGCATCAGCTACCACATTAGCTCGACCGGGATGATATTCAATCGTACAGTCGTAATCCTTAATCAACTCCATCCATCGTCGTTGTCTCAGGTTCAACTCCTTTTGAGTGAAAATGTACTTGAGACTCTTATGATCAGTGAAGATCTAACACGTCTCACCATACAGGTAGTGTCGCCATATTTTGAGAGAGAACACCACTGCGGCAAGTTCCAAATCATTCGTATGATAATTCTGCTCATGCTTCTTGAGTTGCCTTGAGGCGTAAGCAATCACCCGATCATGCTGCATCAAAACACATCCCAAACCTTGTAATGATGCATCACTGTAGATCACAAAGTGCCCTGAATTATCTGGAAGGGCTAATACAGGTGCGGTGGTCAACCGCTTCTTCAACTCTTGAAAACTCTGTTCGCACTCCTCCGTCCACTCAAACTAAACACCTTTCCTCGTTAACTGTGAAAGAGGTGCTGCTATCACAGAGAACCCTTCCACAAACCGACGATAATAACCTGCTAACCCCAGGAAACTCTGTACTTCTGTCACACTAGTGGGTTGCACCCAATTCACAACAGCTTCTATTTTCCGAGGGTCTACATAGATTCCTTCTGCTGATATCACATGCCCGAGAAAGTCCACTCTATCCAACCAAAACTGACACTTGCTGAACTTGGCATACAGCTGCTTCCTTCTCAAAGTCTTCAATACCAACCTCAGAAAGTTCTGGAATAGACAAGGATGTCGTCTATGAATACAATCACAAAGCGATCCAAGTAAGGTCGAAACACTCTGTTCATGAGATTCATAAACGCTGCTGGAGCATTAGTCAATCCGAAAAGCATCACTAAGAACTCATAATGGCCGTAACGAGTCCTGAATGCTGTCTTCGGAACATCCTCCTCTCGTACTCTCAGTTGATGGTAAATTGGGTTCGTGCCTGGAAGGAGTTCGATAGTGAACTCGGTTTCTCTCTGAGGAGGCAAACCAGGAAGATCATCCGGAAAGACATCTGGAAACTCACGAACAATAGGAACATCTTCCAGATTCAAAGTGATCTCCTGAGTATCAATGATCTGGGCTAAGTACCCCACACATCCCTTCTTAAGTAACCTTTTTGCCGTGATGGCGGAGATGAGACAAGAAGGAATAACTCTACGCTCTCCACAAAACATGACTTCATGTTGTCCCGGACTTCTAAATATTACCTCCTTCCTGAAACAATCCACTGATGCCCGGTGCTTCTCTAACCAATCCATTTCCAAGATAATATCAAGATCCACCAAATCTAAGGGAATCAAATCAGCTTCTAACATTGCATCTCCCACTTGGACATAACAACCCTTGAATACCATGTCCGCAAACAGGACATCCTCTGTAGGTAAAGAAATACTAAAACTTCCTGCCATGGGTGTGGGTCTAACACTAGCATATGGTACAAAAGTATGTGCAATGAACGAATGGGTAGCCCCGGGATCTATCAATACACGTGCAAAGTAACCAAAAATAGGGACCATACCAATGATAACATCCGGTGTGGCCTGAGCCTCCTGCTGGGTCATGGAGAAAACACGGGCCTGAGTAGTAGCACGCCATGGCTGACCCCTCTGACTCCTCCCGCCTCGTCCACGGAAAGTGGACTGAACTCCGCTGCTCGAAGAAGAACCGGCTGCAGAAGAAGAACCGGCTGCACGCCATGGACTGAACTGATGTCTGAACTACGTCTTCCTTCAAACACGGTTCACCACACAGCTCGCCCAAACTATGGCTACAGCCATGCAAGGGAGACGAGATCAGGAAGGTTCAGACATCAGGAGAGTCAAAGAATTGGGAGCCAAAGAGTTCTTTGGTAGCTCTGAACCTACGGAAGCCGAGGCTTGGCTCACTGATATGGAAAGAGTTTTTGAGGTTCTATAATGTCCGGAAGGGGATAAAGTGAGATTGGCGGCCTTCCTACTTAAAGGGAATGCGTATCATTGTTGGAAAACTGTCAGGGGAGGTTACAATAGTCTTGCTGATATTACCTGGGGGGAATTCCAGCGCATCTTCTTTGTGCAGTTCTACCCGCATTCTTATTGGAATGCGAAGAAAATTGAATTTCAGCAATTGACTCAAGGAGCTATGACCGTGTTTGAATATGAGCAGAAATTCAATGAGTTATCAAGGTTTGCACCGGACATGGTAGCCACTGAAGAAGAAAGGTGTATGCGGTTTGAAAATGGTTTATGGTTGGATATTCAGGGTAAGGTTACTACTACCCCATATTCTACTATGAGGGCACTGGCTGAAGCTGCTGATAGAGTGGAAAGGACAATCAGATTGAGTGCCGGTAGACGTCGAAGAGACATGTCAGGATTTGGTGGACCGAGTCAGGGTCCATCAAAGAGAGGAGGATCTAGCTCCAGTTCAGCAGGTAGTGGTTGGTCTGGAGGACGGGGATCCAATTCGAGCAGTGGCAGGTCTAGCTCACGACCAGTTTGGAGTCAGCCATCTGGATATCAGCATGTGACCAGTTCCGGGGATGGGGATCCAGTTCGAGCAGTGGCAGGTCTAGCTCACGACCAATTTGGAGTCAGCCATCTGGATATCAGCCTATGACCAGTTCCGCTTGTTTTTACTGTGGACAGGCAGGACATCGCAAGAGGGATTGCCCGCAACGTGAACAGCAGAGCGGTCCCACCCAGAGGAGCGGAGTAACATGTTTTCATTGTGGGCAGTCTGGACACTATAGGAGTGAGTGTCCACTCCTTACTGCTGCGGGTACAACTGGACAGGAGCTTGGGGCCCAGCAGGGGTAAAGCGGTAGAGGACATGGTCAGACCCGGGGCGGGGCATCTTCTTCTGCAGCCGGTTCTTCTTCAAGCAGCGGAGTTCAGTCCACTTTCCGTGGACGAGGCGGTAGGAGTCAGAGGGGTCAGCCAGGCGTGCTACTACTCAGGCCCGTGTTTTCTCCATGACCCAGCAGGAGGCTTAGGCCACACCGGATGTTATCACTGGTATGGTCCCTATTTTTGGTTACTTTGCACGTGTATTGATAAATCCCGGGGCTACCCATTCGTTCATTGCACGTACTTTTGTACCATATGCTAGTGTTAGACCCACACCCATGGCAGGAAGTTTTAGTATTTCTTTACCTACAGGGGATGTCCTGTTTGCGGACATGGTATTCAAGGGTTGTTATGTCCAAGTGGGAGATGCAATGTTAGAAGCTGATTTGATTCCCTTATATTTGGTGGATCTTGATATTATCTTGGAAATGGATTGGTTAGAGAAGCATCGGGCATCAGTGGATTGTTTCAGGAAGGAGGTAATATTTAGAAGTCCGGGACAACCTGAAGTCATGTTCTGTGGAGAGCGTAGAGTTATTCCTTCTTGTCTCATCTCCGCCATCACGGCAAAAAGGTTACTTAAGAAGGGATGTGTGGGGTACTTAGCCCACATCATTGATACTTAGGAGATCACTTTGAATCTAGAAGATGTTCCTATTGTTCGTGAGTTTCCGGATGATCTTCCTGGTTTGCATCTGCGGAATGCCGGATATCTTAGACGGGATCCGTCCTGGTTTCCGAGGAAATTTGGGGCGGGTCCTGTCAGAAAAAGTTTGGGAATGTTTGGCAGCACTCTTATGTGTTTCTTCTATACTCTTAATTGATTATAATGGTGATTTCAATGATTAGTTTTTTTTTATATCTCGTATATATATTTTTTTCTAAAATGTGTTTCTTTGTTAAACTCAAATGCCAGGGTTAATAATGAAGAAATGTATTGTCAAATTGAATTGGAATAATCAGGAAATTGGATTATATTTATAAATAAATAATAAAAAAACACAAACACAGATACGGCGTGCAAAACGCGCCGTAAATATGTATCAAATAAAGCTTTTATGTCGCGCCAAAAGAGCCGTGTAATGTATACCAATTAAAGCGTGCAAAATGCGCCGCAAATAGTTGTCCAAACCTGATACGAGAACTCAATCATGGCGCACCTTATTAACGCTTGTGGCAAGCGAATGCACGCCGTAAAAAGAAAAGGCTTTTTACGGCTTGGCCTTTCGTAGCACGCAGCCGCACGCCGTGAATTATCATTTACGGCGCACAACACACGCCGTAAATACCCAATTTTCTTGTAGTGATTGATAAGATTGGCTTCATTTTGGAAACACCACAAATGGTATAACATATTGCTAGTATTAAAGCCAAATGGTTCATGGTTTTGGGGCTTATTAGTTTCATTTTGAAATTGCGGATGTTTATTTGTATGTATTAATGGTAGAATTGTGTGTAGTGAACTGAACCTTTAATTTCTAAGTCATGTAGATGACTTTGGCATAAATGAAGAATTTCTAACTTCTGCATATATGAAATGTACATGTCAATTTGGTTTGGAGGAAAAGAAATGTACATGTCAATTTGATAATTATAATAACAAAAAAACTTACATTTAATTATTTAAAAATTATTAAATTTAAATATTAAAATAATTATTTTTTAGTTCGGCACAACACCAAACATAGGTCTTCACTATTTTTACAATTTAGCTTCATAGTCCGACATAGCACAAACGTAGGTCAGTACTTAATCCATCTTAAGCCAATCCGAGCTAATCCGAGATAGTCCCAAGATTTATTCCAGTCCATGATAGTCTGTCGTACTAAACGACCCCATTAGGTTTTGTTTTGGCAGTCTGACAAAAAAAAAAACGATTTTGGCAAATAATAAATATGATTTGGGGTTTTGAAAAATGGTAGCATTGGGCTCAAGCCCAAACCGATCCAACTACAGAACTAACTCGAGAACCGTGGCCCAATTGCAGTTCAGCCCAATTTAGGATTTCAATTTTGACTCGACCTAACCCAAGAACTGTGGCCTTCATCGATTCGGCTCATGCGTCAGCCAAAATCGGACTTGACCCGAACCGTGCCCAGGGCTACTGTTTTATTTTGTGGTGATTGGATGAAGGTCTCAATTTTAACAATTAAGTACTTTAAAAAAAAAAATTAGTAGCTCAAAGTTAGTGGGGTATAGTTCAGTTGATTGAGCTATTTCTATTCATGTTGGCAGAGAACCCCCCAAGCACCCATTGAATATTTGTGTAAACCCCCGCTTGTACTAAAAAAAACAGTTATTCGAAAAAAAAAACTGAATTAAATAGCTCGAATTTGTCAATATTTTTTAAATGTAGTTCCGATTAGGGAATCCGCCAAAATTCCCATTGGTTGCCTACGTGACAACTATGAGTCCCACTTTTTCAAGAGTGTTCTGAAGTCAATTTGAGGGTATTTCAAACAACTAATGTCTTCCAACCCAGAACATTATCTATTTTGAATTTTGTTAATTAACCCAAAAAGATGGGAAAGCAAACCAATTTCCCGTGGGAAGAAAGAACACAGTTCTTTTGGTGCGCAGAATGGTAAATGCCGATGTATTCGGAAAGCAAGAAAGTCCCTCCTTCACCATTCATCTTGCATGACCAATTTGCCATGTTCAACTATCTGGTATCTTTTTACCAACCTACATTCAAAAGAAACCAAAAGCAATACTAACTACAAAACTAAGCTAACGTAAATAGATTTTTAATAATTTCATCAATGCTAGCTCTATGAAATTGTGCAAAAGGAAACATGATGTTTGTTTAAATTAATTAGTTTCCATGGCAAATTGTTTTGTTTTTTTTACAAACAACATTGTCAAATAGTTGTTATAAATCTTTCTCATGTTCTTTTCTTGTTCAATTTCTTTTTCCAAATAGAAATTTTTTTTTTCTTACATCTTTTTTGTTATTCTTTATAACAAATAAGAAAAGGAGTTTTACTAAAAAAAAAGGACAAATACGAAGGCAAAATGTTAAAATAGTTCAGTCCCTCCAAAATTTGGACAATCCGGTCTAGTCACTGTCCAACAGTGACATTTGCTGATAAGAAAACTAATTCGTCAAGTAAGGTTAGTTTAATCTCCTTTAAGAAATGGAGGATCGAATTTGAAAACTCTATCGTATGAGGAATAATTTATCTCTAAATTAACAGATTTGAGGCGCCATCATAGTAGGGCGTAACCAACCATATATCCAATAATTCTACAATAAAAAACGTCATATCTGATAATATAAGTTATCTCAGATGCAATGCAACCCTTCATAAAGAAAAATGCAATCAATGTCCTTTCCCAGACAACTTTCAAGGAATCTTTCAAATGTAATAGGCAAAGATATATTAAATCAAATTTATTGATGAACTAACTCTTAATCTAGTGATATAATCTTACAAAAGTGAAATTTCCCTCTTTGAGTACAGCTACACAGACAGCACAGAGATGGAAGAGTTGGGAGCAAATCCTAAACCACCATAATGAGTTTAAAAAATAATAATAATAAGACGATGTGTTGTCAAATATTCCAGCTCACCACATGCTTTTCATGGCATTAAAGAGATGCTTTAATTATTGGATAGATTTGTTCTTTTAAATTTAATATAAGAGATAATCTAAACTACAAGGGAGATGGAGTTTCACACACTATCAACATTTAAAGTGCCATGAGGGTTCGAACATGAGACCATTGGTATGCAAGTCAAGGCCCTTTTCTACTGAGCTAAACCCCGTTAGCATTGGATCTGGTTTTTATTTTACTGCGAAATATGAGACATGGTTGGTCACGCCCATTCTGATGAAAGTATCTATATAAAAAGATTACCCATATTGCACTGCTCTCTCGAACTTAACAAATATTAAGTTTAGAGATCAATCTCTAGCTTCCACAGTCACAGATTAAAAACATTATTCCATGGCATTGATCCTGCCAAGCATTCCCAGCCTTTCCACCTTTAGCAGCCTACAAGTCAAGTTGGCTGCAAGCCAAGTGAAAGGTGATCAGCATGTTCCAGCTGACATACCCAGGCACCAACTTACCACCCTCATCAGATCCATCATCAACAAACAAGACGAACACGGACCATTTTACATTGTAGATTTGGGGGTTCTTGTCAGCCTTATGGAAAAATGGAACCATTGCCTTCCCAATGTTCAGCCCTTCTTTGCTGTCAAGTGTAACCATGAGCCTGCATTCATTGCTGCATTGGCAACACTTGGTGCAAGCTTTGATTGAACCAGCAAGGCCGAGATTGAGGCCGTCTTTGCTCATGGCGTAAGCCCCACGAGAATTGTTTATGCCAATCCATGCAAGGGTGAGTACCATTTAAGGTACGCAGCTGGAGTCGGGGTAGATCTTGCAACCTTCGACTCCATGGACGAAGTTGATAAGATCAAAAGGTGCCACCCCAAATGTTCCTTGTTGCTTCGGATTGCTGTACCGAATGACAAGAGCTCGTGGCGTTCATTCGGGGCCAAATTTGGTGCATTGCCCGAGGAGGTCGCACCGCTTCTTAGACACGCACACAAACTAGGGTTAAGAGTGGTGGGAATTTCGTTCCACGTGGGATCGAAAGCGTCTGAATCTCAAGTGTACCGCAGAGCAATAGCTGCAGCTAGAGCTGCATTTGATGTGGCTGATGAGCTCAAAATGCCCAAAATGCATGTGCTTGATATTGGTGGTGGGTTCAAAGCAAATCAACTGTTTGATGAAATAGCCGAGACCATAAATGTTGCCATCAAAGACTACTTTTCTGATCATCAGTCAGATTCTGATCTGACGGTGATGGCTGAGCCAGGAAGGTTCTTTGCTGAAACTGCATTCACAATGGTTGCAAATGTGATGGGGAAGAGAGTGAGGGGAGAGAAAAGAGAGTATTGGATTAGTGATGGAATTTATGGGTCATTTAATCTTCCAGCATATGATAAATCCTCTATGCAAATCTCACCGCTCCAAATTCTAAGTCCTCACCAAAATCAAGTGACATATTCATCGACAGTTTTTGGGCCGACTTGTGATTCATTGGACACAGTTGTTGCTGACTGCAAACTGCCTGAATTGAAGCTGAATGATTATCTTGTGTTCCACAACATGGGCGCCTACACAACTTCTGCTGGAACCAACTTCAATGGCTTCTGCATTTCTGCTATTCCCACGTACTTGGCATTTACAAATGCTAATAATTAAACTAGATTTTGTTGGGGTTGGTATGGCTGATGCTATTTTCCTGTAATTTCTTTTTTTTCTTTCTGCTCTATTAAAAAAGAAAAAACTGTTAGAAGTGAGGAGTGGAAAATAAGTTTTTTGGACCGCTACAAAAACAAAAAATTAGAATATTGTGTGATCTCTCTCACTTTTTTACTTTAAATCTTGTTCGGTTGTTTTGTGTTTCCGAAAAATTATTATAATATGGGTACCTTAATTGTGTGATCTTTCTTACAGTTTTTGGCAAATGCTCTTATGTACCACTGAGATAGGGATTGTTGACATTCACTATTTTATTTTAAATTTCTATTTGTAGTAGTTCCTTAATTGTGTGATCGACAATCTTTATATAACCTTTTATACATTGCAAAATATTACTTCTTGTTCTACGTACTTTAATTCATAGCATATCAGATTCAAGATGGACAGGAAAATTGGTAGACTCGAATGGCCTAGCCCACTTGCCCAAAAAGAGAGCGATGACCAAGGCCCGCCCAAAATCAAATGTGTCGATCCCTGTCACCTACCTTAGAGCATCTCTACCCATTTGTCATGGTAAAGGATAAGGGCAAGCAAGAATTGTTACTATTCATGTTAATAGTTCCTATCCTAGAATTGTTTTTTTGCTTTCCCACCTATTGCCATGGCAACTTAAGGGCAATCACTCAGCACATGAAAATAATTTTATTTATACTTGTGAGATTAATTTTGATAAGATTAGTTTTATTTATACTTATGATATGAGAAGGAGAATTTGTATGAAGTTTTGGTGTGGAAAGTAAAGAATATTGCTAGGTATTTATATAATAAAAAAATTCTAAATCTTTTTGGTTTTTTTTGTCTAGAAATTTTTACATGTTTTATTTATTTTTGTTCAATTTTTATTACAAAAAAATTGGTAGCCGTTGGATGAAGAAAAAAAAATTGCATCGGAGCCCAAGAGCCGCCACGTGGTGTACACGACTTTTTGTTTGGTTTTCACAGGCGTGACGCATGCCTCGCTTGTGGTGCACGCGGCAGTGTTAAAAAAATTAAATTTGTTCGCTAATGCCAAGATGATGTCAGTGCTGTTGTCAGCACCTTCCGGCAGCAGCTCAGGTTTATCTTGCCTTGGGCTTGCCCAGTCTTGATGGACCCCACCATCTGTCCGGTCAAGAAATGCTTGGTGGGATGGTTTTGCCAGCCTAGAGGGCCTTTTGCCATGGCAAAACCCACTGGTGGTAGTGCTATTAGACCAACTCTCTCCAACTCGAAGTCTTAAATCCAAATAGATATAGCAGGGAGGCTATAATGAAGGGTAAAAGTGAGGGATTATATTGATGGAT